AAGGGACAAAAACAGTTGGTATTATAGCATAGGTGCTTGTATGAGCGAAATATCAGCTTACCAATGGGAAAGATGTGGGGTAGCTTTTTTAGTACCGTATTAATAATACTACTATAATATAAACTTAGAGGGAACCTATTGGAACAGTAAAAGGACGAGAGGAAAGGGCAAAAACTAATCAATCAGAAAAGGTCGAGGCTCGAGGACTGTGGGAATCTATTAAGAATGGTAAAAAGTCCAAAACCTTTCATGGAGAAGCCATTTTCAAAAACTTCCACAAGCTTTTGCAGTGCCTTCCTTTTTCTTTTTGTTAGTGTAAGAAACCATTGACAACAAACAACCTTTAAGAAATATAAAACTACCCACAATGGTACGCGCGTGAACTCCTCTGCATCATTTTATTTCCTTTTTATGAGAAAGTAAATGAATTATACCAGAGCCGTGAAAATGAATATGTTTAACATAATTATATATTATAGTTGCCTAATTATAACCTTACAGATTTATAAATCCCTCTATTTACAGTACGTGTTTATCAGAGCCATGAAAATGGTGAAAATGAACATCTTCTAAACACACGAATCATCAAACCTTGGTCGGCATTTGCAAAAAAAATCTCCAGTAAAACAATGCCCTAAAGAATTGCGAGTTTCTCAAAGCTATGTAAGTGGGGAGCCTTGCTCTTACACTATCTATCTGAATCCCACACAAGTTTCAGATGTGTGGGACTTCCTTGCCTTGCGTCCGCCCCACAGCTAATGGGTGGTTGTTCACCTCACCAAGTGACATATTGCTTGAAACATGTGAAGATGGGCTGAAACTGTGAGAGCCATAAATCACTCTTGCTGCAGATGTGTAAGGGGAGACCTCGAGGGCGGAATAGAGGAGATGATGTGAAGCCGTAGCGCAGTTATTGGTTCTGGCACAGCCTGATAGACCGGTTACACTGAGGAAGATAAGAGAACGAAAGCATAAATCATAATCAAATATCATAGAGGAGCAAAACTAATCATGTAGAGTCAAGAGTGGAATGTATGGTGCAGCAGGATCATACTCATTCCATATCAGTGTGAACATGCACATCGTATACCTATTAGAGGGCGATTTCCCCTTTGTGATCCTTGTTCCCGGTGAAGTCGACATCATTTCTATTCTCTGACTATGTGAATTATCCTATGTGAACATAAATAGATCAGTTTACTAATCATTATCCGAGTAAAGACAATGTTATTTGGAGAGCACAAACTAAAGGTTCCAAAACCAAAAAAAAAAAAAGAATTAACTTCTGGATGATGCTTACTGTTAGATTCATTCTAGAAAAGGCTTGCACGAGGGCTGGTCCATTTTGATTGACCGAATTTCGTACAAAAGGATGCTCGAGTAGCATAGCTGCAGACGGTCGCTCTGCTGGATTTCTTTGAAAGCAACAATGTAGAAAATCCTTTCCTTCAGGAGATAATGCTTCTGGTACAGTTGGGTTCTGGTTCAGAACCTTGAACAATGCTCGAGGCTGATTGATACAGATTTACAGTCAAAAACAGTAATGTAAAACCCTTTGTGAAAACATATCTTTTGTTACATTAAGTATGAAAACAATATAAATCAGAACCAAGTGAAAAGTCCATTTTAAAAGATAAAGTTCGAAGATAGTCATGATCAAATAAAAGCTCGAAAATGGGCTTACCCCTTCAAAGTCACTCCATGGAGGTTTACCATTAAGCATCTCGATGACAGTACAACCCAAGCTCCATATGTCAACAGCCAGAGCAAGATTTGGGTTGGAATCTTTCTTCATGACAGATTTTAAGACCTGCAATAGAAATAACAGCAGTAAACAAAAAGAGTAGAAACAGCCATGGAAAAGTCTCGAATCAATTACAAATTACTTAATGTAAATCACCTCGGGAGCCATCCAGTATGGACTTCCCTTCAAAGAAAGCTCGTCGGACAATCCTGTAAGCTACAATATAAAATCAAAAAAGAAAGAAAGAAAGCATTAGATGGACAGAATTTAAATGCATATTTCACACATACATCAGACTAACACACAACCAGTCCTCATAATCCCAAGTCAATCGATGTAATAGAGAAGCTTCTCCCAACTTGATAGAGTGCATTGTTCCAGGTAAAACCATAAAGATGAAAATGGTACCATTTATGGTATTTATGAACCTAAACCGAACCAGCAGGAGTCAACTACCAATAAACAGAGAACCCTGTCTGAGGAGTCTAAACATGGCCTTAGAATGAACGGATTGATTTGACATACGAAAAGCAATAAGTTATCATTATGCAAAGCTTATCGTTGAAACATGCATTTCTGCGGAAGGCCACATTGGTAAAACATGCAAATTAAGAAGTCGGAAAATATGATGCAGAAAAGGAATTATAAAACTAACATTGAAGAAGCATGTAAAGGTAATATAAATGAAGTTTGCATTGCAGCATGAGAAATTTAAAAGGATGTCAAGAACTTACATGTTTTGCCATGCCAAAATCAGCAAGTTTAACAGTGCCATTGGCATCGACAAGCAAATTTGCTCCTTTTATATCCCTTTATGAACAAGCATTCAAGTGAATGAAATCAGATGTTGACAAGGTACAACAAATACTATAACAAAAAGCAGAATCACATCTTCAAGGCAAATTTTCTAATTCAGCCATTTCAATGGCTGTAAAATAGAGCAATTTTTTCTTTACAATAAGTTATAGAAGGACCGTTGTTTCATTAGGGTTTTACAAGTTATATATTTTGCTGAGGTTCGTTTGCCCATTGCTAATTGTTTCATCAATTTCGGAAGGACTAAATACAAAATATACAAAGAAGTTAAGCTGCTACATAATTCTAGTAGAGCATGATTTTCACCTGTGTATTGTATTTGAACTATGCAGGAAAGCTAAGCCAGATAGAATATGACGGGTGAAATTGCGAACTATAGGTTCGGTTATAGCTCCACTGTGTTCACGGACATATTTATTAATTGAACCAGGATGCACATACTCCAAATATATGTAAAAGTGATCATCAACCTACATATGAAACAATGAACTCCTCAATTTAACAGAGCTTAAAATGTATCTATCTCAGTGTGGTGTAGGAGAAGAGGAAAGACTACATACTAGTTCACTGCCGTAATATTGTACAATATTTCGATGCTTTAAACGTCTCAACACTCTGATTTCCTGCAACATGTAGACCAGCAGGGATTTCAATAGTTTAAAAGAGGAAAGTTCAAAGCAGTCTGATCGAAATGAAGGGCTATATTAAACCAACCTGCTCTAATTGTTTTACACATTCAACAGATTTAGGGTCATCAGGGATGATATCAACTTCCTTCATCGCGCACAAAGCTCCAGTCGCCCTGTCAAAGAAAATGATGTTTAAAATAATGATATGTAACCTCTGCTAAGAAGAAATTCCGATACCACTTCACAATGCTTGCATACCTGTTAGTTGCTTCATAAACACTTCCATGTGTACCACGTCCGAGAAGTCTTCCTTTCTTCCATTGGCTTATAATCGAAGGAGCAATCGGCCTTTCGATGATGTGATTTGGAACCGATGATGGTAGTGGCTTCAGTGATTGTGATGACTGGAAAGCTTCAGGTGGTAGGGGCAACGGATGTGCATTTAATTCACTATTATTATCAAGCCAGTCCTTATTGTTCTCCAAGAGCAATTTATGGTGGGATGAAGTTTTATTTTGACCGGGAATATGCAGGGGAGAACACTCGGGACTATGTACAGTTCTTAATGGTGACGCATAACCAGAGGCTCTACCTAGATATGGAACATCTAAATCTATGGAACCCCTTGATCTTTGTGGACTGACGGAGGGACTAGAGAAAACCGTGGTTGGAGCACTCCTGGCGGAAACGTTCAGCCTCAAGTTGTGGTTAACACTCCCAAAATCTTTCTCATAAGGGAAATTCCTGCGACGACTTAACAAAGATTTGGTTGAAACTGCATCGTCATAAGAATTTAAGTGATCTTGGGTGTTTGATCTTTGAGGGCTAGCCGGAGATGAGGGAAAACTTTTAACGTCGTTCCTTGTAGTGACTGTTGGCTTTGAGCCATTTTTAAAGCTTTCACCTTGAGAGAATTCTTTATGAACATTGGCCAATGAACTTGGTGTACTTTTAGCGGCATGATCTGCATTCTTCCTGAGAATTTTGTGAGCCAAATATATCAGAAGCATCGACAACACAGTAATTCAATGCCAACAGTCCTTCAATATAAAATAAAAAAAATAACACCTATGGTAAAAAAATTATTCTAGATCTTAGCAATAGATGAGTTTACGTAGAGCATCATGAGCCGGAAAACGTAACAAATATATTCAAGTTCAAGGGTTACCTTCCGACAGCAGTGGCGAGTCTTTCATCAGGTGATGCGAGTTTACTTGGTCCAGGACTGGAACCAGAGGTCGTGGATTTCCGATTTAAGAATACCTCAGGAAGAGGCAAAGGCTTCGGCTCCGCGTAAGAAGACCAATGGTCCAACCTCTCCGGAGACCCGGAGTCCTTCCCTGCCGGCGTATCATGGGAACAGGGAGAAGAAAGCGAGCTGTGGATATCGCCAAACCTTAAGCCAACCTCATCATCAGTCAAGTGTCTGAACCTCCTTTGACGCGTGAGACAACGCTTCTGTTGTGCTTGGTTATTACAGGAATTGCCGGCTTTGCCAGCGTTGTCGTGAAGATGAGAACGAGAGGACGGCAAAGAAGAAGAGAGAAGAGAGAATTTTTTGCGGGAAATAGGCATTGATAGGAAAGCAGGAACAAGAGACGCGTGTTTTTTTGAGTTCGTCGTCGTCATGTGAAAATTAACGAACAAAACATAAGAGTTGTGAAAAGAGTGCCATGGAAACAGCCCGGTTTTTTCTCAGTTTACTTTGTCATATTTTCCTTGACGTAAAATAAATATATCTTATAGTCAACTCAACACTTTACAAAAATGAAAATATCCACTTTAACCCTTTAAATGATAATTATGGATTTTAAAAATTTTAAACTTTGAATTCATTCTAATATTATATTATGAATCAATATGTTATAATATATATTTATATAAAATTAATAATAATTAGCAGGGATAGAGTGAGAGACCGTTATTCCTCTTAAAATTTTTGTATTTTTATATTTTTTTATTAAAAAATATTTTTACTCTTTTAAAATTTTATTTGTTTCTCATATTACAATTTTATAAATTCAATCCCTTCATAAAAATTATTGATCTGACTGTGTCTAATTGTAACACCCCCAACCCGTATCTGACCCGGATACGAGTCTGAGGTGTCACATTGACTTTTCAAACTTTAACTCTTAACAAAATTCAAAGAAAATTTAAAATTTTCATTACAATAAAAGCGGTTTATTTACATAAATTGACCAAAATAACCAAAATCGATCAGAGCATATTCAACTCAATCAATTAGTACATGCCAACTATATTCAACATAACCAAACACATTTAAATTATCTATTTTCTGATCTGAAATCTTTGTAAGGAAGATGCTGACCTTTCTTGCTCTTCTTCACTTCTCTTCTCGCTTCTGTAACCTACGTGTGAAACAATCACACGCTAAGTCTATGACTTAATGAGGCAATAAACATATAATGCAAACTCTAACTTGTAATCATGGATGAACAATTACTGCTATCACATCATACCCATTCATATATATATAAATCCACACATGCATATAATTATCTTCTTTCCTATCATTATCATATTATCACCATTCATATTTCTATTCTCTTATTTATATGATCCATTATGTTCATATCATATATCTTATAACATATACAATAATCACTAACACACATATATCATATCATATAATTCATATAACAAAACACATATATATATATCACATACATTGTATTCAATGTTATCTCTTATTAGCCCATGTACACATGTCACTAAGTCTTTTTATCGTACAAACATATACTAACCATTTCTATACACATCATGGTACACATATATCAATTCATAACCGAACACACATCGTATCATATCAATTGATTTATTTACTCTATTTAAAGTCTATGTATTAGCCCATGTATACTTTTGAGAACTTAAGGTATGTGAGTACATTGAGGTTGTGCACCACTATGCTGTCACCACAACTCGTATAAATGTCCCGAAGGACCTATCCAGAGGTCATAAAGAACCTCGACAACTGTCCATAGGTCCCGAAGAACTTAGGTAAACTGTCCATATGTTCCTTAGAACATAGGTATACTGCCCATATGTCTCGAAAGACATAGGTAATTCTGTCCATATGTTCCGTAGAACATAGGTAAACCCTCGACTCTTGACATGCCAACTATACCTACAGTTCTCATAACTCATATCACATAACATAGACATTATCATTTATAACCTTTCACATCACTTGTTCTTTCTCTTCTGTCACATACCACATGCATGTGTAACCATATATTTCATATCATATCACATGTATCACATATTGCATATTCATGTAATCATATAGATCATGTCACATAGCTTATATCATTTCTCATATTCATATATATAGTTCACTTTCACATATCACATTTTCATTTTCTTCTATTTTTCATATCATGTCTCTTATAACCATATATGTTTGTCTTATCTTATCTTATATCATATAATTATTTAGCTTATATCTTATATCACATGTTTATATCATATAACCTATGTAATCATATATACTATTTATACTAGTTCACATAGCTTATTTCACTAACATGTATTCACACAATTCATGTAACATATGCAATAATATTTATATCACGTACACTCATGTATATATGCTCTAATATGGAAAATATACTTACCACAATTCACATAGTATATCCCATAATCATGTAACTTTTCATGCATGTTCATTTCAAGCATATCACATAATGCATATAGTATGAATTCATATCATGTTTCATAATATTGAATGAATCATGTATCAAGATATTAAATCTAGACTTATCGCAAGTCTAGAACTGAATATACTAACATAATCATGCTATGCATATGCACTCACCTTGGCCTCACTAAGTTCCAATCCACTTTATGATTTCATTTCTTTCGATCGAATCTTAACTTGATAATCGTTCTGGAACTGGTTCATGTTCGATATCTACATAATCATACATTGATACATATCAATATCCCATTGATATACTCTAATCTATCATTTCTTAGACCAAAAGAAATGTCTATTTCAATTTCCCTTGAAGTGCATCGATACATTCTACAGTGCATCGATACACCACTCACTTTCGATGTTTTCATTTTAAGGGGGTGCATCGATGCACTCCTTATGCATCGATGCACTAATTGCATTCGATGTTTCTTCTTTAAAGAGTGCAACGATACACATTGAATGTGCATCGATACACCTTGCCCAAAGAAAAATCACCAACTTTTCACTCAATTCTTCTATATTAAGCCCTCATCATGTCATTAAACTCAACTACCATTACTTAAACCAACTTATATCCATATAAACCATCTTTATCTTCCATATCTCATTATGATTCTTAAAATTTAAGAATCTTTCTAAACTTTCAACTTTGTTATTAATCCTTTCTAACTTCATAAATCTCTGTTGAGTTAATCGATTGACGGATCGGCCAAGAGGGGGTGAATTGGCAATAAAAATTTTGGTGGAAGCTTTTGCACAAAATTGAAAGAAATTGCACAGCGATTTAGAGTGGTTCGACTTTCTTAACCAAAGTCTACGTCCACTACCTTAGCTATCCATACTAAGGATTTTCCACAAATTCACTAATTTGTCTTTCTTTTGAGGACAAAGAGTAACCTTATAATCCTTCAAGAATTATACCCCAAATTCTTAAGAACACTCTCTCCCAAAGAGAACAATACAAATTTGCAAACTTACAAGGAAATCCTCACAAGGTAGATTGTTTGCACAATTCTAGAACAAAGAAAAGAACACTCAAGAATAAATACAATTGAGCACAATAAGTGTTCTTGAAAGCAAAATGAATATTGAATGAAAAATAGACTTGAAATGCTCAAACTTGAGGTTTGATGCTTTCTCTTTGATTTTCTCTTGATTCTAGTTGCTTGATGTTTCTTGTTATTTATCAATGGCTTCTAAGCTTGCTTAAATACACCTTGAATCACTTCTGAACGTTGGGGATGATTAGTGGAGTCAATATAGCCGTTTAAGTGTGAAAACAATTAATTAAAACAGTTGGGAGCGTCAGTGCATCGATGCATACCCATGGTGCATCAGTGCATCAGTGTAAAATTCAAATATTTTGACCGTTGGACCCTTAGTGCATCGGTGCACTAAGAGTGCATCGATGCATCAAGTGCATTCGATGTTTCAAAATAGCCAGAGTGCATCGATGCATGGCTGGTGCATCGATGCATCAAATGCATTCGATGTTTTCATAAAATCCTCAGTGCATCGGTGCATGAAATGTGCATCGATGCATGAAATGCATTCGATGTTCAATTTAATTCATGGTGCATCGGTGCATGGATTGGTGCATCGGTGCGTCACTCTAAAAAATTGATTTTAGGCTTGATTTTTGGTTCAAAATACTTTGTGAAAATTGTTTCAAAAATATATTAAGTATAAACACACAATTTTACACATTTAGTAAGGTTTGAAATTGATCTTAAAAGTCTTGGAGTAATAATTTGATATTCGATTAATTGAATCGAATATATTTAGAAAATCATTTGTAAAATCTTAAAATTTATTTAAACTAATTTGTTATATCGAAATACAAAAATGTTTTCAACAATCTCTTATTCTTATTGATGACAAGTCAAATTCAACTTTCAATTCTGATTATAAACTCTACTTCAATATTTCACTCAAGAACTCCAAATCTTTAATCTTCCCTAACTCCTTTATCTTTTGATTTTAAGATAACTTAAGCTTTTCTTAAGCTTAGTTATCATCTAATGATCATAACCCAACCTTAAAATCAACAATTAATCAACAACAAAGAAACCCACCTTTTGTTCAAGCCTTCATGTATGAAGGAATAAGAGAAGAGCAGAGAACTCTGAAACCTTTTTATTTCTTCTCCCTTCCACCCACGTGTATATATATAACCATATTTAAATATTTTCCTTACAAATGACCCTTTTTCCTTTCAATTCACCTTATAATTATTAATATCTTTCAAGTAATATTTCAAAATAAATCATTGAACTATTTCATTCTTCTACTCTAATCACCAAATTCTGAAACTTTACAATTTGATCACTAACCCGGTATTGAGAATGTTACACTAATAATTAAGGTTATAATTTTGTTTTGTTGGAAGAAATAGGAGTAAACAAGACGCCACATCCATATCAACCCTCTTACATTTTTCTTTTAAAAAATAAGTAAAAAGCGTCAATTTTTGTTTTCAATTAACCATACGTGTCTGAATATTTTCCGTTGCACAATGCCTAACACAAATGGGAGGACAAAATAATTTTTTGGATAAACTATAAGATCGATCACTTTTATTTTAGTTTTATACAATTTTTCTTATTAAATTCAAAAAATTTAATATTTGATCATTTTTATTTTTATCTAATTAAGACGTTATCACTTTTATTTTATTTCTAACCTTTTTTTCGAACACCTTTTCTTCTTTGTGAGAATGCTTCTAAATCCAGTATATTTTTTAAGATTGATTATGATTTTAACATTAAAAAATTAGTTTTGACGCAGTTTTGAAACATTCAAAATGTTAATAAAATAAAATATTCCACAGTAAATATGCTAATTTTATATGGAATGGCAAAGGCTTGACCATAAGAAGTGTTTTGGCTATGGCCAACCAAACCCTTTGGAACAAGATTATGGTCGTGTTGGGCCTCAAGGGATATGAAGCTCTGAAAAAAAACGTCGGCATGGTCGAAATATTCCTGAAAGAACTCCAGACTTGACCAATGAAAATTAAGCAACTGTAACTTACGTTGAGAAATCTTTCTATCTTTTTTTAAGTTTGATTGCGTTTGTAATTTTCTGGTTTGTTGTGAAACCATAGGTGAAGTTTCTATCTTTTTTTAACTTTTGAATCAAATTGAACTCAACTTTTAACGTTTTAAGTCGAATCAAGCTAAAAAATACTTGGATTCGACTAGTTTACAGCCCTATACCTGATAATGACCCCTTACTTATCATAAGACGGTTCTAGAAGTTGTATTTGGTGTTTCTTTTGCCAGCACTCCAAGAAAATAACCGAGGAGGTAGAAGACTAAAAATCCTGCGCATCCATGAAAAGCGACAGTTTCATAAATGGTTTAACACGTAACTCGCACACTGGCCTGTGTTGTACATAATATACAATGTACTACCGTGTTCAGAGAAACCTGGTAGGCATATATTCATTTAGTCTGAGGGGATAGCTGTAGAACTCCTCGGTTCTAACATCGCCTTTGCTGTGCTGGAATGGTTTTCACCACGGAACTCCTCTATCTTCCACATGATTTGCATCCAGGGTGTTATCCAGTATGGTCCCAATTGTATTCAATATATCATTAAACTGCATGCATTACGATTGACATTGCATATCAGACAAAGAAAAGCACTACGGAACACACAAAAAAGAACAGTACATTACATACCCATATGGCATTCGTTCTAACCGGTCCACGTCCATCGTAAGATATGTTCATTGCAAAGTATTGAGGAATTGATAGCCCCAGGAACAGAGAGACACCCAAGACATAGATGTTTCTCATGGAATTATTGTTTGCAAACTGAATGAATGTGATCCCAGAAGCAGCTGCACCACGAAAGAAAAGAGGGACGGAACTCCCAATTAAAGAAAGAAAAGAATATCGGAAACAGAACCTGTCAACTACAGAGTCACTCACCAACAATGCCCAATAAAATGCAGTATATGGCGGCAAATATTGGCAATGGAATAGAGGCAAAAAATGCACCGAATTTCCCTGAAAGAATGCAAGGTAACACAATCGAATACAAACACGGTAAATACATGGCATAATTTTCGTCGCAATTAATCAGAAAGTAAAAAACACAAACCAAATATGGAGAAAAATATCATGAAAGCAGTTGAAATCTGCACAACCCTTCTGCTTCCTATATGCGTAGGCCCGAGAAGGCCAACATTTTCACTGCAACAACAACCGGATGAGAAGCTCAAACAAGTTTCTACAGCATAGTGCTATCCATTATGGATTTTACGGTTAATTACAACTCTATATAGAATGCAACTTCTCTTTAAAAACAAGACCACCGTACACGGATGCAGTAGTACCAACAAGAGAACCAAAAAGCCCTTCAAGCAGCATACCAAGGCCCTGGCATTTAGAAGCAAGATGGCTAAGTTATCTTCACGACTGACAAAATATTATAATGTGATTCAGGACCATGGTTTATCATTTTTAGGGAAATTATTGACAAATGAGTTTCAAAAACCAATTCACAAGAATCTAGGAAATGACCTGTAAGCCAATACTTCTGCTGAGTACATGTGCCGGAGGGGCTGTGGCACCAGAAAGCCGAGCTGCGGAAAAAAATGCTCCTGTTGACTGCATTGAACATCATAGAATGTTAAGTGACTGAGCCTCAGCAGATAAATAAAATAAGTGAAACCTTATGTTGCCAATACAAAATAAAAGTACTAAATAGAATTGAAGACATTTAAGATTGCGACTAAACCTCAGCAGATGAAACAAATGCAGCACCTATCATCCCAAACACATGGCTAGCCCTGAATATTGGCGTACCCCACTGATATGGGTATGGAATTTTGATCCTAGAAACAGTGACATAAAATAATGAGTCATAAAAAGGAAACAGTACAAGTCGAGCCGCATGTCAGGAGCATACCAAGGAGCAGAAGACATTAGGTAAGATCGATCTGTGCGGCAACTTTGTTCAGTGGTAGTTTTAACATTGTTGTAAGCACCCGACACAGTGAGGATTGCAGCAAAAGCCCAAATAATTCCGATGCAGAAGAGCAAAGCAAACCTCTCAAGTATTAGATGGGCTCTTGAATGGATGCGCTTCAGGTACTGTAATAAACAAGTAGTCCTTGTCAAATAAACAAAGCATCATGTGATATTAAGACGTTACACTCAGTGAAGCTTATATACCTGTTGGGAAGTAACAAACAGAATGAGCATGGGCAGGCCAATTTCCACACAGTTACCTAGCTGTATCATAATTACATTAAGGATCAAATTAAATCAGCATATTATCAGTTCTAATCAAGCACAAAAGCATTCATAGAAAATTACCAACGGGAAGCCTCTTGCAAACAGTCCAAGGCCAACGAGACAAACCACTGGCACCACAACTATGGGACTAAATAATCTAGACAAAAAGATGATAAAGAGAAAACGCTTAGAAAACTAGCGGTCAAAACTTAATAGTTTACCGACCAAAACAACTCAAACATAACTGCCACGCAGACAACCAGCTGTAACCCAAAAAAAGGTTGTACGAACTGATAGTCAAAACGGCATTCACCATTACCTTGTCAGCTCCCCCCATGCCCGGCCATACCCAAGGATGATGTTGACAAAGGAAGAAACTATCATTGATCCTTGAACGGTTCTAATACTATGGATAAACCGCTGCAGGCAAGCACCCGGATAATAATCATTAAGCAATATGGTCATTAGGTAAGAATGTGAAAGAGAATATAGGAAGACAACAATGAGCAAACCTATTGAGCATGTACACCAATAAAATAGCGTTGCGATTTGGTAGGCGACTTGGATATAATCGGATTGAGCAAAAATAGAAGAGAAAAAGTAATTAAGTTCGAGAGGCAAAAGAATGACTTCTGCAAATCAGGCATGAAATGAAGAAGCATTCATCAGCTACTATGTTCGATGACCTTAATAGATAGAAATCTATAACTTATAAAACCGAAAAAAAAATTATATCATATCTAACAATTGAATGAAGAATAACCCAACTTTATTACAGCACAGCACAAAAAAGACTTTATAATTCATAAGTTCCTTTACTTTTGCTTATATCTCAATAAAGTTTACATACATCATGCGGAGTTGCGAAGGCTTCATCATTATAATCATTGACGATAGAAAGCAATGGGAAGGTGTATGCAAAAGATGCACCCATCACCGTGGGGAGCCTAGAGCCAACAAGCGTTTGAAGCAGAGTATTGATACCAGACATAAACAGCAACACTTGAATAACTCGGGCTTTATCACCCTGTACATAACTCGGGTTTCAAATTTTGAGATTTCAGAAATCATCATATTCATAAAAAAAAAATTATAGTGTTGAGACTATCTATGCCGGTCATAAAACATACATGATCCCCACCCATCCGAGGCACGTTAGTACTTGCAATTAAGACTGTAGTTCCCAGATTCACGATGTAGTGTTGGAAAGCCAGTAAAAGAGCTTGAGCTGTTAAACAAGCTGATTCTGTGAGATTAGATGCAAAGTATTCCGTATTTCCATCCTAAAAAAGGTTTCGCTTATATGAAATCGAAAGTGGTTACCCAAGCCAATTGTACAGCTACTAAAACAAATAACAGATTCATCCTAGTCAGGGTGAAAAGGGGTATTAAAAGGTACAAAGTAATATGAGTAGATGAAAACAAAAGAGAATCAGAACAAATAATAAGTAGTTGTCCTGTCCTTCAAAGAATCAAACGAAAAGAAACCACATTAAAAAAAAAAAAACCAAAACCATAACTAAGAACTTAAAAAAAAAATCCTAGGCAGATCCCTTTCATCTTTTAACTTCAATAAATGAAAATATTAGCTAATAACAACTAAAAAGAAAGCAACTTCAACATAAAATTTTCAACTTCAGCCATATTTCTTATAAAACTAGACGGTAGATGCTTGATTACAGAGCCAGCAAAAGGGAACGAGAAACTGACGCCAAGAAGGATTGGAGTGGATGCAGTACTGAAGCTGATGGAGTTGCTCAGCAGGAGTCCAAGTAGGTCCCCTCGAAAGGGCGAGATTCGGTGGTGCAGCCGCTTGCGGCGGCGGTGGGTCTCTGTTTCACCCATCTTTTCCTCTCTTTTTCTTTTAATATCCTACCTTGCAGTCCCTGTAATCTTCTTCTTGTTCCTTTTCACTTGAAGTGGACGGAGTATCTGATAGATTTTTCAGATTCGAAATCGTAATAATAAAAGTTTTGAAGTAAGTTCCAAGTATTATTTTCTCATATCTTTCGAAGTTCCACTGACAATGAATCACCGACGCAAAATAAAGATATAATAAACAAACTAGAAAACAGAGAAATGATTAAAGAAAGCAACTTTGTTTTGTTCCAATAATGGAAAAGATTAAAAAAAGAAGAAATGGTTCAGGTTCAACTCATTTTCAATTTTCTTAAAAACGAAAACTTTGAAATTCAAACATAACAGAGAAGATGAAAGAGAGCAAATCTTCTATCTTTGTTGGATTCTCTGCTCATTCCCATCACAGAATAAAAAGATGAGCGTTCCTTGAATTGTTAAAAAAGGCTATATCTTCTCTAATCATTCTATTCTAATCTAATCCAAATTGTAAGTAGAGTTAAATGTTAGGTCCAACTAAATGTACTAACATTTAATTCACGTGTTAATTAACACCTAAATTTATAAACCTCTATAAAACATTTTAAAAGTAGTGCACCAGCTAAGCACTGTAGATGTGCTTCCTCGAAGTGTTAAACTTGGAAATTGTTTAATTATTCTTTTGCTGTAATGGAAATTAAAAAAGAATTTGGCAGGGGAATAAGTGAAAAGAATATATATACAAGAGTCTGACATGACACGTGCATATTACTTGGGAAGAAAAAAAATAGGGTAAAATGTTTTATTTTTCATCAAAATTATTATCCTTTTTTTTATTTTAATCATCAACTTTTTTGGTTAATATTATATTTTATTTCAAATTTTAATTGTTAAAGGTTAAAAAAAATAAAAATAATTATATAAATTTGATAAAATAATAAGTTTCATTTTTAAATTTTATATTTTATCATTTTAATTTAATATTTAATCATTAAACCAAATGAGAGTTGCAGACACAAGTCCACAAGGGTTGGAATTGTCAATCGGGTATTTAGTATAAGTTTTTATTACTATTATTAATATGATGTAAGTATAAGGTAGTATATGTTTAAATATAACTTTCAATCATTTAATATTAAATCTCGCATCTCTGATATTATTTATGTTCAAACTCGGAACCTCAAAAAATAATAATAAATTTTATCACTAAAATTACTGAGATTCATGCTTAATATAAAATTTATATATTTTTAATTTATTTTTTCGAACCCTCTTTATGTTTATGTTTTATGCTTTTCTTTTCGGTAATTTGTAGTTATCTACTTATCTGTATATCTTTCTTTTTAGAATAAATTATCTATTCAGTGACCTGTTGTTTGTTTTATATTTTAATCATTTAATTATATTTTTTAAAATAATATTTAACATTTAGATTTGTTTTTAAGATTTTGGTAGTCTTCAGACAAACCAAAAAATTAGGCTTCCAATCAAAGATTTAAATTACAATTTATATTTTTATTTTCGGCCGCGTTATATTTATTGTTATTGTGAACATAATTGATGATATTGTGGTCTCTACAAATATTGTGGTTGTAAATTTTTAATAACATATGCTATTGTGGACATAACAATTGTGGATATTATAGTTTCGGACGATATCATTAAAAATACACAACGGTTGTTGTTTTGATTACATACTGTTATTTAAGTAATTGTCTCTAATAACAAGAAAAATGAATCCTAATAACAAATATTAAAGAAAAAATAAATTTTAAGAGTATGATCATAATAACAATTATTTAAAAAAGTTGACTTATAATAATAAATAAATATTAAAAATATATTAAATTTTAAAAGTATGCCTCTAATAATAAATATTAAAAAAATTAGGCTCCTGATAATAAATATTGAAGAAATTTGACCCTTAATAATATATGTTAGAAAAATATTGGCAAAAAATTAAACACTTACATAAATGTTAGAAAGACCAAATTATAGGAGTAGGCCACTAATAATAAGTATTAAGAAAATGAGCGCATGATTATAAATATTGGAAAAAAATCAAACCCTTAGTAATAAGTATTAAATTTTTTGAATGCTATAACTAATATAAAATCATTCTTTACAAGTATAATTGGGCACTAGGCGTGCTCCTCCTGCCCCACATGATTTTCAGAATCAGATCGGTTAGCGAATCGGTCATGTTATCGATTTACTAGTTCAATCGGTTGAATCGGTCTGATCGGTCGGAAGAACCGGACGACGTCATAATTATTTAAAAAATTAAATAAAAATAAAAAAAATATTTAATAAAAAATAATTTTTTATATCACAATTCATATTCAAAGCAAGTCATAACATATATAAGTTAAAAATCATAAAATCAAGTGAAACAAAATGATTCAAATTAACTACAACATAATATTTAAGGTAAAACATATTAAATAATAAATATAATTATATAACTATAATTAAAAAATAAATTTGGGGCTAAAAAATCATAACAAAATGATATTGTTTGGTTTAATTTTTTTTTAAAACAATCCCACATGGCTAAGAAACATAGAAGATCATCCCAACTAACTTCTATAAATAATAGAGGTAATTTGGCATTCAAAATCATGGAGCCTCTTGGTAAGCATTGAGTGAACTATTCTTTCACTTTAATCAAGCTCGAATTTTAGGCTTCAATCGAGCTTCTAAATTTTTTTTGAGTTCAAGCCTTTTCGAGTTCAAGTTTTAATATTATATTTCGAATTCGAGTTAAACTTCATAATTTTTAGCTCGTGAGTTTGAATCGAGTTGAGTTTACTTTTAAATTTTTCAAGTTCGAGTCGAGCTCCGCAATACTCGAGTTCAACTTGGCTCGTTTAACAAACGACGTCGTTTGGTTTAATTTTTTTTAAAAAATAAAATAAAATTGGCCGATTTTCCGGTTTTTTCAACCGGTCCGGTTTGAACGGTTCAGCAGTTCTGGCCGATTCATTAGTAGCGGTTCAACCGGTCTATATTGAACCGGACTAGACAACGGTTCCTGGTTAAACCGGCCGGTCTGGTCCGGTTTTCAAAACAATGTTGCCCAGGCTCAAATACAGCCCTACTAACATCAATGTTTGCAGTAATAGTCTCAACTGTTCACTATCCGGGATCAATTAAGGCCTAGGTTTGCGAATAGTAAATGATAATTCTTATATACCCTATCATCAACCCGTGTGTTAAATAACAATAAGGTCGTTTTTTTTAAATGTGTACTTTGTATTAAAACGCAAAGTATAACACCCCAAAGATCTTATTAAAAACCTACATAAACCTAAGTTGAGGAAAAAGAGTAAATCTTAGGATGAAGAAACGGACAAACAAAGTCCCAACTACAACAACACAAAAACCAAAAACTACACCACAAGAACGACCATCACAAGCTACAAAAAATATAGCTACATACTACCCCTGTAGACAAAACAAGAAGAAACACTCACATCCAAACAATGAACAAAACCAATCTACATCCTTCGAACATAAGACAATAAAGCCTAAGCCTATCAAATGATACTAGACACACCACCACAACCTATAAATCTAGAAGAGAAGGTAAGACTGAAAACCCTGGCATAGTAGAACAAAAAAATGAGATAATGGACATGAGTCGAGACAGCCTGTGATTAGAGAGTTCACAGAATTGAGAAGAAACACACAAACTGGATTCAACGGCACTGCACCACTAAGCCTAACCCCAGCATGGCTACTAGATTTCTGAAAGTGTCAGCACCAACGAGAAAACGCCCAACAAAACGAGCACCATACTGACCAACGAGAAGATTCAGCTTTATCACTGCACCAATTATAACAGTGCTGAAATCTTCAAAGGAAAAACCATCACTAAAATACACCTGAAAAGAACTTCATGATCAAGCGGCAATCAACCTGGATCTCAATTCATAATCACTAGCTGAAAAGGACCACCCTAAGCTAAAGCCTACAACGCTATTAGGCAGAAACAACAATCTCCATTAACACACCACGAAATCTCCATTAAAACGCACCTCTTAACAAAAACCACTCAGAAGGGAAACCTTAGACTCTTGAAGCAAAATCAGAATAGCCATAACCGGATCCGTAAAAGTTGTTATAGCCCAACACTCTCAACAAGAATGTGCTGCTCCACTGGCACAAAATTAGATAAGATGGGAATAATGTGCAACCCTTGTTCAGAGACCCTCATACCTTCCACGTTAGCTACTGCATGCACCAAACCAATTTCCAAGAAACCAAAATTAATAACACACCTCTGACTACACGACACATTCTGCTCCTGCCCATCCAAACCTCCCTCGAGACCAACGCCTGTAGCATGCTCAACCTCGAAGAATGAAAGGTTAAATCCTTCTTCGTCTTTAGCACAACACGCCCCACCCCCACCAAGGTTCCACCGATGAAGGCTCTAGCTTCTTCCTTATCGAACAGAATAACTCTTCCCCACATGCTACCAATGTCAAGAACAACTTCCTACTCCAATAGATAGAGGGACAACCATTCAGATAAACCCAAACTTTTGCTTAAACACAATTCTAATATCCAACCATCAAACCAACTCAACAAACCATAAACAACTCCATTTATCTCTATTTAAATGAACACACCTGGCGATCGAAACCTTTCGAAACTGAAAAATCATCAACATATCATTCCAAATACTAACCTTCGCGTCCAGACCTACAACTTAAAAGCTGTTAGAATAAAAACATCATTATAACTGATTTAAAAAATACCAACCAAACAACTCTCTGCCCACGAAACTTTTTCTTAGGGAATAAAATGATCCTGTTAACGCCCTCAATAACAAACACAACCAGATCTGACTACTCTAACATCAACAACATTAACAAACACAACCAAATCTGCACCTCATTAGATTCCAGGCTGAAAACCCTCAAAATTCTCGCATGGCTGCCCACCAACTACCTGAACACCCTCCAGAACATCTCTGAAAGACCTAGCGACCCTATAACCTGGATTCCAAACCTTTTAAACACTTCTATCAGCAACTATCCACTTCCTTACCACTCACACAATTCAAGCAAAGAGAAGAAGAAAGGGAAAACAACGGCGACGAACAAACGAACCGCTCTTAAGGGAGGCGGTGGCGGCCTCCACCACCGATCTAGCAGCTGAAACAAACTAATTAAAAGGTAAAAAAAATAAAAGAAAAAAAAGATCGGCGGCTAGCAACCAGCCTTAAGGGCTGATGCTGCTGCCTCCGCTACCATCAGATAAAGAGTACTCGACCACACAACTTTTGTGCAGGAAGATGTCGGAATGTGAAATTTGGAAGGATTTTGGTCTGCTTTGCTTTGCTAAATGAAATCCAAATTCATTGCTAATGGTCTTTGGTCAACAGTAAGGTCGTTGAAAGAGGTATCCTATCTAGGTTTGGGATTACTGTTCGCCGAGGATTTATTGTTGTACGATTGCAATAATTGAGTGTTATGACCAACTATATCAAATAGAATTCAACCATAGTTGTATGGCCATAATCGTAGCCAGCTTCCGTCTCTCTCTCATTTATTAACCACTATCCAGGTTCATTGTCCATCGGACATTTATCGAATTAATTATGTCTGTCAAATGAAATCCTTTGAGAATTTTAAAAGCTTCGGATCCAAATTCACAATTGCCCACTTTAGATGTTCTAGATGGAAGTTGAGTTTCTAAGAAATCGGATTTCTAGTCCTTCTATAATGCTCTACAATTGGATCATCACTATCTAATAAGCAATCATCAATTCTTTCTTCATCACCTTTCACACGTTGATCCAGGTACAAAAACCAAGAGATGCTAGTTTATTTCTTATGTGACTTACATGTAGTAGACAAGTAGTTGAACATAGGTAGAACAGCTCAGAAAAAGCACAAAAATAAAACCTACAAGAAAACATACATGGCCAAAATACACACCATTAAGATACAACACATATTCCTACACAAGTAGGATGGCAGATTTATCAGTATTCAAGAGGATTGAGAACGTTCCCAATGAAGAGAACAACTCCAGTCTCATCTTCCCTGACCAGAAAGAGGAATGGATGGTCAGCCGCAAAGTCTATTTTCCTCGGGTTAATGAAAGCCCTGGCTACTATAACACCAGAAGTAGCAGCAGCAGCTTCTGTCCCTTCTTCATTAACTTCTATCTAAGACTTATGAAATATGCTTGAAACATATAGGTCCTGACCCTCGGGCGAATCCATCATCTCTATCAAACCTCCTTCGCTAGAGAAAGGCAATTTAAGCCCTAATCTCTTCAAAACTTCAGAAGCTTTAAGTCCAAATGAAATCTTGAATCTTGGAATCCTGAATTCACCCACTTCAGCTGGTTGACTAGGAACGTGGGTTTCTAAGAACCCGGGTTCAGAACTCGCTTTTTCTAACAAAGCATGCAGACCGTCCTTTGCATCTGGAAGAAAGAAATACATGGAGAAGCGACGCTTATCTTCACCCTGTTTATATGGAAGCCCTAGGACTTTGAAACCGTCATAGGCACTAACAATTTGCTTCTTTTTGCTGGTCATAAAAGGCACCTTAACAAAGTTGTCATTTAGAAGGTAGAAGTCATAGTCATTTGTTTTTTATGCATCGAATGCTTCGTTCCAAGCTCCTTTGAAATACAGTGCATTAGTAAAGATAAGCCTTGCTGAAGCATCAACTGATCCTGGTGGAAGAACTTCCTTAATAACACCGCTAGTCTCTTTCTCAGCCCACAAATTCACTTCTCCAGCCACTTGAACAGCCTTCAAATAAATAAACCAGCAACATGAAAGTTGAACCAAAAATAGCAAAAGAGTGATGTGAATATAATCCATAAAGTATAAAGATATCATTTAACTTACTAGAAGCATAAAAAGAAAAAAAAATACCTTGTTTTGGAAATCGACTAAATTACAAGCAGCATTGTACACGTTATCCACAACCTGTTTGAAAGAAGACTTGAGAGGGAGAGACTTGTCGAGCCAAACACCGGTGGCAAATGACAAGATGGGCCCACCTGCTGGGCTCCCGACGGCGGAGACAACGGAAACGAGCTTGGAGGAGAAGGAGTCGAGTTGGTCACTGGATTCTGACATGAGGAAACAGAGGAGCTGGTCGAGGGTGGGACCCTTACTGCCAGCGGTGATCATGCTGAGCACAACGTGGATCGACAGCGGCGAGAACATCAGGTTCGAGCCCTTGGCTTCAGTTTGCAGAACGTGCTTCGCCAGGACGAAAGCGATGTCGGTTTGTTTTCTGATCAATTGATGGAGATCCATCGTCAGAGTGTGAACTGTAAACAACACCTGAAGAGGAAGAGAATAAGCTTTTACTTTGATTGATTCGAGCGACTCTACGGATAGAAAAATCCAACAAGGACGATGATTTATAGAGGAAGAAACTGTTTAGAAGTGAGTTGGGAAAGGTTTAACAATTAACTAGAATATGATATGACCTAAAAATTTATCCAGTGAAAATTATATATTTTTCTAAATAAATGCAAGTTTAGTGGAAAATAAAATCAATTAAAATATAAACACGTAAATACTAGAAGGAGAAATATCAGATATATAAGTATCCGTATTTTATATAATGTATCCGTATTTTTTTTAATTTAAATCAACAAAGTAATCCGAACGTACCATGGGTATATTATTATTATTTATTTTTTGCTAAATTTAATTGTCATAATAAATTTATATAGAAAATTAAATTTATCGAGAAGTAACATAAAATAATAAGAATACATTTAATATTTTTCTTTTAAATTTAATATAGTGTATATAATATAAACTTTATTTTTAAAAATTGTATAACATAAACCATTAATTTTATATAAATATTATTTATAATATGAATAATAATAGCATAATATAAAGATTTTGTATACATTCCATTTGTAAGAAATGTCAGAATTATCCTAAAAGAATAATAGTAAAAGACTTTGTTTAGGTAGGTACAAACATTAAATAAATATGCAATATTTTATGTAGGTACAGACATCAAATAAATATGCAAAATCAACTTTAAAAAGTCGGTATACTTTTTTTTAACGGTAGAGCTGACGGTATAGATAAATCTAAAGTGAGTGACACATATTTATATGTATCTTTAATGATTTATATTAATATGTATCATTAATATAAAAAATAATAAAATTCATAAATGATAATTAAATTTATTAAAATAATTTTTATCATTAAATTTTTAAAAGTTATTAAATAGACATTAAATTTCAGATTTTGTAATAAACCCTAAACCAAGCATTTACAACAATCAAAAATCACTTAGATGACTAAAATGTAATATATATTTTAATTAAGAGGGTTAATAAATAATACAATACTTAAACAACAACAACAAAACCCTATTCCCATATGCAATGGGGTAAGGGGGAGGTAGGGTAGTAGACTGCCCCTAACGTCAGGTTGAGAGCAATTTCCGTGAAAGACATCCGACAGTAATAAAGATAAAATGCAATGCATGTATAAATAAATAAATACATAGTTGAAACAATCTTCATATGCAGTCTTCATATGCTCGTCTGTAATGGGGGGTAATCCCTGCAAATAAATCCATGCGTAAAAATCTCTGCATATATACAGAAAACATAAAACCCAGCTAAAATTAAAAAGAGGAAACCTGAAGAGGATGACACACAGTAGTCAAGATAGCAAGTTATAAGAAGAAATAAGAAGAAATAAAGTTAGATGGGTTAACACCTAAAACTAAGGCAACATTACTTCGCTACCCTAGTTCTAAGCCTTCATAAAATTCAATGACAGAAACGTATATAAAGTAGAAGTCATGGAAATTACTACAAAGGCATTAAAAAGAGGACATAGATTGTTACACCCTATGGCAGTGACCCGCACTACTCGGCTACCCTGGTCTTAAGTCTCCATACTTTACTATCAGAGGTCATATCATCGGTAAGGGCTAAATTCTTCAAATCATATCTCAAGCAATCTTCCCACTTCCGCCTTGGTCATCCTCTCCTTCTGGCACAGTCGACTGTAATCGACTCTACCATCCTGACCGCATTCGACGGTTTTCGCCTAAGGACATGACCAAACCACCGTAGTCTTCCCTCCATCAACTTTTCGGATACCGGCACCACCTCCAAGGACATCCTAATAGAAGAGTTTGGTGTCATATCCCACAGCGTCCTACCACATGCCCATCGAAACATTCTCATTTCTGCGGCCTCCATCCTCCTTATGTGATCCTTCTTGATTGCCCAACATTCTGATCCATATAGCAGTGCTGGTCTTATTGCCATTCTATAAAATTTTCCCTTAAGTTTTTGAGACACTTTCTTGTCACACAAAACTCCAATAACAACCCTCCACTTTATCTATCCCGCCTTTATACGATGTGTAACGTCATCATCTACACCCTCATCTTTATGTATCATAGACCCTAGGTACTTGAAACAATCCTTTGAGGGGAGAACGTGTCCTTCTATGCATACTTCTACATCTTCATCGTTTTGGTTCCCACTGAAGTTTGAACATAAATACTCTGTCTTTTCAATATTGATCCTTAGACCTTTTTCTTCCAAAGCAGTCTTCCAGGTAGCCAGTCTACTATTCAGCTCAGTTTTTGTTTCAGCAACTAGGACAATGTCGTCTGCGAAAAGCATACACCATGGGACATCGTCTGGTGTCGCAAAAAATATGTCGTCCATAATCAAGGCGAAGATGTAAGGGCTAAGAGTAGACCTCTGGTGGAGTTCGATTTCCACAGGGAATGCCTCGGTGTCACCAACTGTAGTCCTGACGTAAGTAGTAGATCTACAATACATATCACGAATCGCCCGGATATAAGCAGTTGGAATCCATCTCATTTCCAAGGTCTTTCAGATCGTATCGCATGGGACGCTATCATATGCCTTCTCAAGGTCAATGAACGCCATGTGAAGATCTTTATTTTTTCCCTATATTTCTCCATAAGCCGTCGAAGTAGATGAATCGCCTTCGTAGTCGACCTGCCTGGCATAAAACCAAATTGGTTTTCCAAAACCCTAGTAACCTGTCTCAACCTAGCCTCTATCACCCTTTCCCATAGCTTCATGATATGACTTAGTAGTTTAATACCTCTGTAGTTGCCACAACGTTGGGGATCTCCTTTATTCTTAAAGATTGGTATCACTATAGACTCTCTCAACTCCTCTGGCATCTTGGCAGTCTCTAAAATAATATTAAAAATATTGGTCAACCACTTAACTCCCTCTTCTCCTAGGGCCAACCACACAGTGATAGGAATTTGATCTGAGTCGACAGCTTTGTCCCTCCCCATCTTTCTAAGAGCTACTTTGACTTCCTCAAACTCAATCCTACTTATCAGGAAGTTATTGGCCTTAGTATGATGGTTGGCTGACCCATCAACGACCATATCTCTATAGGGCGAGGCACCGTCATTAAATAAGCCAAAGAAGTAACTACCCCAAACCCTCTTAATATCATGGTCTTTCATTAAAAGAACAACATTGTTGTCATTAATAAACCTAATGCTACCGAGATCATTGTAACAACCCCAACCCGTACCAGACCCAGATACGAGTCTGAGATGTCACATTGACTTTTCAAAACGTTTACTTGTATAAAATAGTGAGAATTTAAAACTTTTATACATGTAACTTATTCAAAAGATTTCCAGAACTATTCAGAGCTTAAATGTTTTTGTAAAACCAATTAGAGTATATACAACTCAAAACATTAATTACATGCCAACTATTTTCAATATACAAAATACATCTAATTCAAGACATCTTTTCTGATATGATCTTCGGTAAGAAGTAACTGACCGGTCTTGCTCCTCTTCACTTTTCTTCTAGCTTTCCAGAACCTACGTGTGAAACACTCACACGCTAAGACGATGACTTAGTGAGGCATATAAAACATATAATATTTCATATAACATAAAGCATACATAAACATATACCATCATTATCATAATCTCTATCATTATCATTAAGAAACACACATAACATCATATGGTTCATGTAACACATTTCAAACCACTTACCTTTGATAACCATTTATAAACCCATCGTATACATATCATATTCAGTATGTTTGTTTAATCTCTTTATTAGCCCATGTACACTAGTGAGAACTTAAGGTATGTGAGTACATTGAGGTTGTGCACACATATGCTGTCACCACAACTCGATCAATGTCCCGAAGGACCTATCCAGAGGTCACAAAGACCCCGGTAACTATCCAGAGGTCATAAAGATCCTCGGTAACTGTCCAGAGGTCATAAAGATCCTCGGTAACTATCCATAAGTCCCGAAGAACCTATGTAAACTGTCCATATGTCTCGAAAGATATAGGTAAACCCTCGACTCTTAGCATGCCAACTATACCCCTAGCTCTCATATCACATAACATGGGCATTATCATTTATAACATTTCATATCACTTGTTATTTCTCTTCTATCACATACCACATGTATGTGTAACCATGTATTTCATATCATATATCTTATAATAGATTCTTATATCATCATTTGTTTCCTTCCTACCTATTCACAATCACACTAACATGTAATACAAGCAAGATGTATTAATACATACATGTAATCACATAACTTATATCATATCATTTCTTTTATAAACATATATCTCTTTTTTTCTGTCACGTATCACATATACGTGTAATCATTAATCTTATAATCCCATGTTCCTTATCTTTTGTCACATACCCTATGTATGTATAAACATATATCTCATAAACATATATTTATGAATCTCATATCATTTTCTCATGTATTTACTTAATTCAGTTTCACATAGCTTGTCACATAGGCATGTATTCTCATATATTATAATTTCATATAGTTCAATATCACATATCACATATACATGTGATCATGTACTCATACACACATAAGCATCATATCATTCACAAATCAAATAACATTTTAGGAGTCACTTCTTACCATAATAACTCCAATACTGGCTCATCGCAAGCCAATGTTCGTTCAATAACATAAGTACAATTAAAATTGCACTCACCTTAGCTTTGCTTTGATTCGATTTTAATCCTTCAATTGTTTCTGAATGGGATCACATTCTACATCTACATAATCATTCATAGATCTATATCATTATTATAACTAATATACTCTAATGGTTCACTCCTTAGACTAAGAAAAATGCCAATTTCATCTTTCAATGAAAGTATGCATCGATGCACTACTGATGCATCGGTGCATAAGTATGCCTTATGCATCGATGCACTAATTGCATTCGATGTTTCTATTTTAAAAGAGTGCATCAATGCACTACCTGTGCATCGATACACCTTCAAACAAATTTCTGGGTTTTAACCTTGATGCATCGGTGCACAATGAATATGCATCGATGCACTCTGCCCAGAATCCTCTTTTTGAACCCGAAAATTCATTCTTTTTGGATTAAATCCTTCATATTTCAACCCCTTTCATATTCCTAACTTACATATACATACTTAAACTCATTAATATTCATTTATCTCATCTTTAACCTTAATATCCTCTCATCTTTATTAACTTCAAGAATCATACCAGATTTTTAACATGTTTTAAATCTAATTCTAACACTCCATATTTCTTAATTAGATTGATGACAAGTCAAATTCCTTCTCAAAATTCACTTACTAACTCTTTTCCAGAATTTCCTTTAGAAACTCATTTTCTTTAATCTTTCATAACTTCTTTATCTTTTGATTTTAGGACAACTTAAACTTTCCATAAGCTTAAGTATTACCTAATGATCAAAACCCACTCTTAAAATTAACAAATAATCAGCTAACAAGGAATCTTACCTTTGCAAGCTTGGCTATTTCTTTCTCTCGTACATGAAGAAGAAGATTAAGTGGAGAAAATATCTCCTCATCCTTATCCCACATGCCTATATATCATTTAATTATAATTTCTAAGTCAAATGACCATTTTTCCCTTTAATTCTTTTAATAATTACTAATAACTTTCAGGAAATATCTCACATAAATCATTAAACTATTATACTTTAATCACCATATTCTGAAATTTTACAATTTGGTCACTAACCCGTATTTTGGGATGTTACAATCATTTTTCCTATTTTCCTTGGATTTTGCAAGCTTGAAGATGTCGTTTTGTCCTTCCTTGGAATCTAATATCTTGTACATTTCCTCATATGCCTTATCCTTTGTTTTAGCCATTGTTTTCTTGGCTTCCTACTTTGCCTCCTTGTATTTTTTTTAGCTCTCGATCTTTCTTCGTCGTCATTGTATTGTAGAAACTCCTTGAAGCAAGTATGCTTTGTCTTCACCTTAGTTTGGACTTCGTCGTTCCACTACCACGATTCTTTATGTTCCTTTACCTTCCCTGTCGATAACCCAAGGGTGTTTTTCCCCACATATATGATGGTATTTGCCATATTTTTCCATAACATATCTGCATATTTTGCGTTTGTAGTTCCAAAACCTGTATTAGATAAAACCTTACTCCTAACGTCATCAATTGTTTCTCCAAGTAAGTTCTTCCAAAGGATCCTAGGTTTACCTAGTTTAGCCCTCCTATGAGTGCTCCGCCCATTGCGTACGCGGAACACCAAAACCAACAATCTGTGTTGTGATGCACATTGCTCTTCAGGGAATACCTTACAGTCAATGCAAGCCCATCGATCCCGATTTCGAACCAGAATTTAGTCGATTTGGGTACAATGACCCCCGCTATGGAATATAATCAAGTTCACATCTCTCTTATTAAAGAAAGAGTTAGTGACCAACATATCATGTGCAGTAGCAAATTCAAGCAACGTACGCCCCTCCTCGTTACTACTACCAAAACCGAAACCTCCATGAACACCGTCATACCCGTCGATTTCACTACCTATATGGCCATTGAAGTCTCCCCCTATGAAAACTCTTTGGTCCTCCGAAATCCTCCTAAGTACATCATCTAACTGATTCCAGAAGTAACGTTTCTCCTCCTCCCCTAAGCCAACATGTGGGGCGTACACTGAAAGGACATTCATCACTTCTGCTTCTATGATACCCACCCCATTTCTAGCATTATCTACGCCCGAATACCACAACTTATACCCATTACACTCTCTGGCACGATCCCCTTTTCACCTAGTCTTATGAATACATGCAAAATCTATTTTCCTATTATTAAGTACGTCGGTCAGCTCCAGCAGCCTAGCATTTAAAGTGCCTTCATTCAACGAACAAACTCTAAGTCTAGTTTCCTTGACACCACTCTGTCGGGCCCTCCCCTATACGCCCTATGGGATCTAAAAGAAGGACAAGACCTCAAGTAATCATCTATAGCCGAAGCTATGAGGGGCTATGAAAAAAGAATCCAAAGAAGATAGAAGATGCACCAATAAAACGCTTGAGAATTGTGGGTACTAAGAAGCCAAGTTAGTTACTTAATAGTATTTTAAGACAAATTAACATTATCTTAGTTAACTTTAGGACAATACAGAGCAGTTAAAAAAACTGTAAATCGTTCAACCAAATAAAAATAACAGATCTGAAACTAAAACAGATATAAACAAGGCATACATGCAATTGAAGTAGAGATTGATAAACCTCCAACAGAAATTGAAGAGGGAAAAAGATAAAGACCGACAGGGAATTGAAGCAAAACAAAAAATGCACTAGTACCAAAAACTGATTCAAAGAGCTGTAAGCGCATATAACAAATGTTATATAATCTACAATCATATAATTTTTTTAAAACACTAAAAACGCATGCAAAACTAGAAACAATGTTGCAATTTATATTTGGGTTTTCTCTTAAATTAAACGAGGGTACCAGAATCAGGGAGTGGAGGATGGGATGCGAAGTGCAAGAAAGCGAGATGAGCGGCGTCATTTTGGGCTTCCTTGGAAGACCTGGCCGGATTCTGAGACTTTTGTAAACAGATGTTGCTGAAAAAGGTAAAGACAAGCGGCGGTTCTGGGGTGGAGAGGGATGAAGATGGAAAATGATCGGTTGAGATTTGTTAATGCCTTACCCTAAAAAATACCTTGGAAAAGAAAGCAAGAAGAACCAGATCCGATGCTATAATTGATAACTATCAAGAAATTAACATGCAAAATCTTATGAAATTAGAAGAAAAAGAGAAAACCCAGAATTTTTGTTCAGAAAACTTTGTAAGTTAAAGAGCTATGTTGTCAGATATCAGTTTTTTCAAAAATTTGAATTCCAAGTAGATCTAAACCAACCAAAAAATTGATGGAATTTTTAAGACGCCCAGAAAATATAAATCAAAATCTGATATATTTCCAGGCAAAACAAGTAAAATCGAAGAACAACGAAAAAGAAGAATAAAACAAAAGAACTCACTCAATTTACAAAATTCAATCTATATTATGTAATGATAAAAACACAAAAAAATTTAAAAAAAACGTCACAACTTCACGACACAGAGTTTAGCCTGAAGAAAAACATGAAAAACAATAAAATGGAAAAATATGGTATTAATCTGCGAGAAAATGGCGCAACTTGCTGGAAAGGAGGGAGAGATCGAGAAGAAGATGCAGAGAAGAAAAACGTGCAGCTAATGGAGAGATGGAAAATACAATACTTAAAGAAAGAGTTTAATGATGTTATTTTTCATAGGATTGAGTATCGATACAACCTTAACGTATCGATATTAAATAATAAATATCAATACTAATATCTAATATCAATATCAAAATTGATTACCAACAGGGTTAGGTTCAAGGGGTAAGCATCTTGATATCGCTTAAGCAATGTCTGGAGTTCGAGTCTTTGTGTATGTAAAAAATCCCTACTGGGAGACTCACCCACCAATGTCGGTTGTGCAACTCAGGTCCGTCCAGATTAGTTAAGACAAAACCTTGAAACCGGGAGGGCAACCAAAGAAAATTATCAAAATTGATTATTGTATTTAATGCTATTGATATTAAAAATAAAAATAGAGATAAAATATTGCGTAAAATGATTAAAAGCTAAATTTTAACACATTTTAAACCTATTTCACATGCTCATATAATCATCACCATAACATCGGTAAACACAAAAATTATTAAGATGAACATAAAAACACTCGATATGCATTTTTTTCTCAACAAGCAAATCACACACAAAAGGCATAACATATCAAATACTATCTTGGCATCAAACATACAAATTGCACTTTACGTATACATAATCACCTACTTAACATGCCTTCCAACACCAAACTATACCAATAATCACATCACACGATTCAATATCATTTATCTACTCATGCTAAAATTTGTTTAGAAACTTTGGTGTGTTTGATATTCGGAAAATGTTTTTTAATGTTTGATAGTTGTAATTGGTTTTCCTCAATGTAATTCATTTTTCTAGTTCTTTTGTATTTTCTGTAAAATATTTTACCATCTGATTTTCCATAAAACATTTTCATAACTTTTCAGTTCAAAGTATAAGCACTCAAAATAATATTATTTTATTTATTTAATATTAATACAATATTTTAGTATCATTTCAATGAAAATATTAATTATTAAAATATTTAATATATATTATAATTTTAATAATATTATATTTTTAATATTTTAAACATGAATTACACATACATATCACTCATTAACCTACGTCATACACTTATCTTGGGCATACTAACATATTTTCACGTTACTCAAACATGCAATGTCATCATAACATACATATGCATATACATAACCAACATTAAAGAATCATACCAAATTATTATGTACACCACCAATATATCAAATGACATTAGATATATGTCACCCTTTAGAAAGTTTAAAAAACAAAAAATATTTACATATATTAAGTTAGAGATAACTTGTGACGTTCTAATGCAATTCAGACTGAGTCTAATATAATCGAACTCTTACAAAAACAATAAACAAAGTAAGCTGCAAAATATTTAACGAGGTAGTCAAACATATAAAATTGTTATAAGTAAATGTAATAAGCATAGACGAGCCTCCGCCCAAACCTGAATCTCATTTAATCGATGATAATGTCTCTTTGTAATCGAATTCAATAATAGTATTTCGAAAGTTCATTAACAGTCTCTTTGTAAACCCTAAAAATGCCCCCATAATTCAACATCAACCAACGAACAAACCCCAATACCTTTGGTGAATCCCATTAACAAATGCCCTGCTGTGAAATTCAGGTTAATTTCCACCAATAATAACAAATTCACCTTGAAAACTATTATCTAGTTGACTAGTGTGAAAACGATTGTACTAAAAATCACCCCAAGGTAGATTCCCAGGAAAGAGTGGAGGGGTCACAATGGCCCCTCTTAAAATCCACTCGCCTTAGACAAAATTACCAAGACAAGTAATTTTAATAGGACAATAATTAACAACAACTATACCCGACAATAGCTATTAAATAGACATAAAAGAGAACGCCAAAATTTAACGAGGTTAGACCAAAATTATGCCTACGTCCTCGAATACTACTAAAATAATATTTCACTATTAGAGGAAATATTGCAAAGAGAGAAAAAAAAGTACAAATAGCCTTTAATATAGAAGAATGCTTATATTTGTGTGATGCTCAACTAAGGAGGAGGAGCGCTCTATTTATAACAAAAGAATTTCCCCTCCTCCTTATACAAAACCAATGTGGGATTCAAAATTTGTCAAAAAACCAACAAATCTCCACCTTGGCAAATTCCACACACATCTCTCAAAAATCCAATCTTCAGTAGTGTCTGCAAATTCATCTTTCAATTTGTAACAATATTGACCAAGTCTAAACAATGTTTAAACTTGACCGCAGTTACCACTTTTGTCAACTTATCAGCAGGATTCTCAGTGATCCGAATCTTCTGGATTATGACTCCATCTTCTTCTAGAATCTCTCGTACAAAGTGATACCGAACATCGATGTGTTTCGTCCTTGCATGGTAAACTTGGTTTTTTTGCTAAATGAATAGCACTTTTTATTGTTACATTATACTTTGATGTGCTTTTGTTCCATTCCCATTCACCAAGCAACCCTTGAAGCCAAATTGCCTCCTTCACAGCCTCTGTAACTGCCATATACTTTGTCTCTATAGTAGACAAAGCCACTGTTGACTGTAAGGTGGACTTCCAACTGACTGGTGCTTTTGCAAATGTAAACACATAACCAGTAGTTGATCGACGCTTGTTGTTCGCGTGTTGTGAGTACTATAAAATATACGCAAATAATGTGCAAGTATACACAATCGCTCAAGTAAAAAAATAATGAGTGAGTATCGTCTCCATAGGGATTGGAAGGATATTGAGTAAAGTTTATGCACTATTCTATCTAAGTATAGTTATTCTTGATATATACAAATGTCACGGCAATGGATATGTGTATGCTGGTGAATGTGGATTAATAGTGTGATTGTGTAGCAAATGGAAATGCAGAGGCAAGAACAGATGTTTAATGTTGAAAATGGTGAAATGCCAAGGCAATGAAAAATGGTAAAAAACAGTAAATAAAAGATAAATAAAATGAAAAGAAGATAATCCTCACGTGACAAGCTTTCAATGGAATGAATGGTAGGGATTGATCTAAGAATGCTAAACTGATCTCTCAGGTAGATTTAAGATATCTGGTCTTTACTTACTCGACAGGGCTTTCCTAAAATGTTCTCACAGGAACCTAACAGAATAGGATGCCAAGGCATCTGCTCTCACTTAACGATGTTGGACAGCCTACCCTATTGATAAAGACACCCTTTTTAGTTGTTGAAATCCTATCATAGTCTCTTACGAGATCTAAGGGATTATGTTATAATATTCCTAGGTCGGTTCAAAGCCCCTTGAAAATACTATAACTCATTGCTTATGAGGATCTTGTCTTGCGTTTCTTCTGAATACTTATAAGTATTTTTAGCTTAGGATTCTTCCGAACACCTAACATTCATCTAAGAAATGGACATTTCCATGTCTCTTACAAGCCTAGATGGTGAAGCATTCATAAGCAAAGCAAATAAAGAACCAAAATAAACTTAAATATACCATTAAAATAAAGTTAAAACATCCATTAAACCAACCACCACCAAATAAGCTAGTTCATGGTGGGGTTCGAAATATCCATAGAAAAATCCACAAAATATTCGTTCCAACAACCCACAAATAAAATAAATAAAATAACAGCAAAGGGAAGTGAGAAAGAGTCTTCGACGCGCGCCACCGGAGGTCTCCTCGGCCACCACGAACCGCCTTAGCTCGCTAGCTCCTCTCGGCGCCTAGCTCGCCACTCCTTGAAGCTTTATCAATGGAGGAAAACCCAAGGAAGAAAAAAGGAAAAGGGAAAATAAAAATCTGATTTTTCTGCTATAATATGCGTCTCCTTTCTTCCCCCACACTCTCTCTTGTGAGGTGTAATATATAAAAAATATCTAGGGGTAATGATGAGGTTGTTGGGATATTGTTGGATGTAAAATACCCCTCATACCCCTAGAATCACATGTTGTGCATGAACCTTATCCTCCAGGTGTCAGTGGTCCCCTAGTAGGCTGTTACAACCATCATTTCACGTGTAGAGCCAGCTGTCCACGTACAACTGTATATTTTTGTCGTTTTCTGCGCCAGAAATGCCGAGGCATTTCAATCTGCTTCACCAACATGTGATGTCGCGGCATTACTTCCCAGCTCGCCTATTTTGCTTGTTATTTCCTGTACATACTAAAAACCACACCTTCCTCTTCAAATAGCACCTTAATAAAATAAAATAACACAACCACCAAAAATGCAATTATATGCAGCTACATACATCTAAAATGACCTATATGTACCCTTAAACAAACAATAACTTAAGTTGAAAAGGCCTTAAAAATAGTTTTTTTACAGAGTTATCACGCCCCCAAACTTAAGCTATTGCTTGTCCTCAAGCAATGAATAACAATTAACACAATCAAAATGTCATGGCAATTTCAACAGTAGAACAACAAGACAAGAATTAAATTTCAACCCTCAGAAAAATCGACTTCAACATGCTAGACATATCAAGAATTCAAGTACTTTTCCCTAGGTCAAGATTCTTTATGGTGTTGTGTGTATGATTTATTGTATTTAATCTATACTTAACGAATTTAGGCAATTCTAATTGAGTTCCCTAGTTTCGCCACAACATTTACTCATTCATTAAGCACATTTATACTCCATTTTCATTTAGTACATATTTTTTTTTCATTTTTTTTCACTTTTTCACTTTTTTACGCTGCTACGAAGGGAGTCAGCTCATCACACCTACCATCCCACACTCTAGGTGAAAGGGAGCATACCTTCCACTCCCAAGCTAGTCAGGTAGAGTCATCCCGTGACTACTTTCATTCACTCGTATGCGCGTGGCTGCCATTTATTAAAGAGAGTTCCAGGCAATGCCACGACAAAGAGGAGTGTCCCTCTACAGCTGTGCCGAAGCATTTATTCACGATTAAACAAAATTCAGAGATAAGGGAGTTCTTAAACAGTGATTTATCATTTAAGCATAACACCATATTTTAATGCCAAGGCTAACCAGAGTTCTTTCATAAAAACTTCCTAAGTTCTTTAAGTATAGAAAACATACAAATCGTGTAAGAATAATTCACAAAGCATCAAGCCCTAGAGTCAGTTCTATCATTCTCAATAGTCATTTACATTCAATTTCTAGCCTAAAAAGTTCATATTCATCAGGTATAATCAAAACATTTCATCTAACTGTCCTACTATTTACTGATGCCATGGCATAACATTATGTTAATATTATCATGCACATGTTCTACAAAGAACACTATCTCCCCCAAACTTAAGAGAAGCATTGTCCTCAATGTTGAATAAAAACTAATTTAAAACTAGACTACATGCGATGCGATGCGATGCAATGCAATGCAAGGTACCTTGTCTTCCTAAGATGGTGGTGGAGTCACGCTGGCAGTTCTAGTAGTATTGTGTCTGGTGCACTTCCTCAGTGATGTGGGGCTTTTGTCAGGATCAAAACTGGGTTCAGCAGGTAGTGTGCTAAGGCTTTCAGTGTTCTTAGATGTTGAGGTATCCATACGCCCAACAGATGACTTCAGACGTCATCTAGTCCATGCTGACTGGGTTAGCATCCTCTGGCTTGGGTGTACTGTCTTGCTGAGTGACATTTGCAAATGTTGTGGCATCCTCAAATGATGACAAGATCTCGTCCAGGATGACCGGAAGATTATAAGCCCAATATGGGAGCATCTCCTTGTGAACAGGTGCCACGACTGCGTCTTGTTAGAGCCTCGATTGCATCTATCTTTGCCGTGACATATTGATTTGCAGCAGCCTGTGAAGTTCCCTCGTGAGATTTCATCATATTCATCCTTCAGAACACCCTTCATCCTAAAAATAACTAATATTAAAAATAAAGATAAAAAATAAAACAAATAAAAATAAACAAACAAACACTCACGACAAAAAAAACTTCTGAAACATAAATTAAAAAAGGTTCTAGTGATGCAAACTCCAAAAAATCATGAATTGTTATGGCATTTTTGTCGCATTCGATTGGAGCACCAGTATAGACCAAAATGCTCCACATATATAACAGCGCCACCTTCAGTGTAAGTCGATAGAACCCGATTTGTAGGACCTTTGCAGTAGTCCTCTCTTTTCTCTCCCCTTTTCCGTAACATCTTTTAATTGTTTGGGCAACAAAGTCGTTCAAGAAGTAGGGGTCATCATCCTGCATCAATCTGTTCTTGCCCTGGCTATTCAAGTACGGAAGCAAAACACCACTAACGAGAAAATTGACAATGTCAGCGTACCACGACAATGCCGTGGCAAATAATAATTTCTCATCAGGGAATTGTTTCTCCATTTTATTCCTTAGTGCTTTAACAATTTCTAGCCTAGAAAAATGGGCAACTAATTGGGGTTGAGTAAATTCAATGAAATCCACAGGTTCAGATTTCGTACCTGGTCTAGCTATGAGTAAGCTAGATTGACCCGCCTCTTTTGAAATATCCTTAAGCTCATCTTTGTCTTCTTTATCGAGCTTCAAGTACTCACAAGTGCCTACAAAATTGTCGTGGCATAATTCTGCAGCTTCCCTTTGGTCATCAACTTCTGCTAGTGGGGTTTTTCTTTTGCCGTGGCATTATTTTGCTTGCCATCATCGGGTTTACTCATTGAACATCCAACTTTGTTCTCCAGTGAATGTAAGTCCTCTTGCAATTGAGACTCTTCATGCACAATCTCATAGCTAGGTTCTTCGAGTGTTTCCCTCCCAAACTTAGCATCTTTGTAGATATAGGTGCCACTCCTTCAGGTGAATGTACTAAATTGCTCACTGCCTTTAGCCTTAGTGACTTCAGTATCACTAGGCAATCTGTCTGGTTGGTATTCTTATAATGTCGTGGCAATTTGATCCACTTGCATTTCCAAAGCTCTCAAAGACAAACTATGACTTTGCAACCATGCCCCTTGACTTTGTAATAATTCTTCTTGACTCTTAATAGATGCATCATGATCTTGTAATAAAGCCTTTGTAGTTGCCATAAAGTCTTGCATAGTGGCCTCTAGAGAACTTATATTAAGTGAAGATGTTGTCCCTTTAAAAGTATGCCATGGCATATTCGTTCGCAAGGCTGGGGGCTCATCCATATACTGCTGCTGAGCGAGATGACTGACATTACAAGCTCCTTGATTTTCCCATGAGAAATTGGGATGATGACTTCATCCATTGAAGCTTCCCACATAGTTGATAGACTTTTGATTGTTCGGGCATTCACATTCATGGTGATTGCCTTGGCATAAACAGACATGCCAAGCTATCAACCTTCACTTCTTTCACCTCCTTAGAATTTTGCATGTTAAGTTGCGTTGGATGTACATGGAGAAAGAACAATCATACTAAAGATTTACGGGTCACCCTTTCTTACTTTTCCACAGTTCTCTTACCAAAATTGAGAATCTGCCGGTACAAATATTGACCTTCACCTAACCCCTTTCCACAACCATAAAAAATGTGACAAAATACACCTTGCGTCACATGTTAAACAATCTCTTATAATTGCTTCAACTTAAGATCCCGGTTCTCAATTCTGTTCAGTACAAAAGTGATGCCCACTTTCTAACATGCAATAATGATCTCAAGCACCCAAATTAGAAAAAGAATCGAATATCAGAGAGATATTATTCATTTTTCTTTCCTTGATTCTTCCAAATCCTTGTCAAAGTAAATTTCACAATCTAATTACAAGAAAAAATGTCTGTGGCCAACAATTGGACAATCAACAAGAAGATTACAAAAAATGGATACTGTGAATAGATCATACAATAAAATAATGCTCAATATTGACACACATTTGGGTCATGTATAGTATCTGAAACTTTGGATGGAGGCCAATAGCGAAATACAGACCTACCAACAATGTTCTCGATGGGAAGTGGACCCCTGAAAAAGAAGATAATTGGAATTAAGATGCCAGTTATAGGAGATTACATTCCTAAAATTACAACACACACCAATTATACATTCGTTTTGTTAGGTGTATGAAACATGTTGCATGTCTTGCTTTCATAGCTTTTCCGATGCATTCCAAAATCAATAAGTCAATAGTAAATATGAAATTTTAGAATTACCAGTCATGGGAATCAAAACTGTGGTTACGGTTATCTCCCAACACGAAAACATAACCTTCAGGCACAACCTGCAAATCACCCTAAAGAAATGAACTTTTGCTAACCAATGTGATAGACTTGACCCAGTGACCATGTAACAAGCACGACCAAGAACCAGAAAAGCAAATTTATAAAAAAGATAAAGAAGTGCAATCTACAAATGAATAAACAAGGACGGCCTGAAGTTAGACACTAACCATAGGATCCATTTCATAAGCTAATGGCTCTAGAACGAAATCTTCATCTTGAGCAACACCATTAATTAACAATTTGCCATCTCGAACCTACCACAAATTCAATATTGAAAGTTAGAAATAGGGTCAATTTACATTTTACAGAAAGAAATAAAAAAGTTAAATAAATGAAGAAAAGCGAAATGATTGAAGGCCTTGAATTACACAATCTTAAGAGCTTACTTCAACACAATCTCCAGCCTTAGCAACAATCCTTTTAATGAAAACATCGCCTGAGCTGAACCCAAATTCCTGCATATTGATAAAAATAAAATGTTATAAACTGATCCAAATTATTAAGCAATGAAATTTGAGCTAAAAAGAGCAATCTTTAAGGCCTACCTGCAAGATAGGAGGTGCCCTGAATATAACAATATCGGAAACCTCTGGATTTCTAAAGAAATAGGATACCTGTAAATATCAGAAACATGGAACAGTTTAGCCACACAATCTAATTTCACTGTCTATTAAGGTGGTGTTTCAATAATCGAAGATTTACCTTCTCAGCCACAATGCGGTCGCCAACATCTAAAGTAGGGTACATAGAAGCCGACGGAATTGACTTTGGCTCAGCCAAAAACGACCGGAAAAGTAAACTAACTGTCACAGCAGTAAAAGCAGCCTTGGCATCTTCGGAGCAAACATTTAACACCCTCGAAATCCAACTGCCTTTAACAAACGCTTTGGGATCCAACTCCATGCTCAAACTTCGACCATCATTGCATGTTCCTCCTCTATCCGCTTCACAACTCTCCAGTCCGACATGAGTCGGTTCATTGCACGGAAGCCACTTCGACTCTTGCAAGAAAGGGATAATCGAAGTGGCATTAAAAGATGTAATTCCCATAGTGGTGACGGGGGAACAAGACCCAAACGTCGATGACTTCATCAGAGAGATCAAACCGACGACGATTGGGTTATTGCAACTGTCTTTAAGGATATCAGCAGCGAGGGTCGAGTAAATGCTCGACCGAGGGAGACGTAGATCAGCGGCGGAGTGGTAGGCACGGGGAGAGTAAGAGTCGATGTCAGTTTTTTTGTTGGGGGAAAGGAAACGAGACCGGATCCAGCATTCGTGGACATTTCGAGAAGAGCACGATCCGAGACGGAAGCCGGCGGTGGAGGCTAGGTTATGGGCAACATAGCCGGAGTAAGTGATGGTGACGCGGATAGCCATGTTGAGGACTTGGAAAATGGAGATTAAGATATGGAACAGGCTGGGGTCGGTAGCGAAAAGGGTTTGTCTTAGAAATCCTAACAGCAAATGAAAGCCATTTTCGAGTAGGTGATCAGTGAGGTAGAGACGAGAGTGGGGAATTGGGGAGTAGGGCTAGGCCAAGGGAAGAGAAAGGGAAGCAAAATTGAAAGTGCGGGACAAAATTGGTAGCGCTCCGGTAGTGGAGGGTGGTAACTGCAACCGTCCTGAGCTTCGTTGGCTACTCAGAGTAGAGGGAACCAGGCTCGGCCGCCGACAGAACGGATTTGGGGTTTTGGGAGGGGAAAATTGAACAACAGCGTAGACTAGAGGTCTTATAATTTTATAAGAGTCGGCCATTGTTTTTGGCATTCAACTTCTGGAGTCTGGACTTGATAGCTTCTGTATTTACGAAATAGCCCAAGTGTTTTTTTTAGAAGAGGAAGGTATTGAAATTTAAATTTAACATCCAATATCAATTGATTTTTTTATTTTATTTCACACTCGATTGATAATAGTTGGTCTCTGTTATATAATAATTAAATTTTGATATATTTACAATATAATAAAAAATTATAAAAAATTAATAATTAAATTATCATATATGTAAATTATGAGTGTAGATAAACTAAATTATTTATTTTTTAAGGTGTTCTTGCTCGGTTCGTGTTCGTTTATTTATTTTTGAAAGTGTTCGTGTTCTTTTATTTATTCTTCACGAGCATATTCGTTAACGTGTTCCTTTATATGTTCATGAACGTGTTCATTTAACGTTCACGAACATATTCATCAAGCGTTCGTTTATATATTCAATTTTTAGTTTTATCAACTTAAACTCCTTAAAATTTAAAGTTTAAATTTTAACTTTTACCGTATGTTCAATTTAGTCCCTACCTTCACTAGTATTTCAAATGTAAAAAAGAAAAAAAAAGAATAACTAGATAAACGAGTTTGTTCATTAATATAAATGAATGAGTTAATAAATGAACTTGTTTGTGAATATAAGCAGACCGAACAAACCTCTGTTTGTGTTTGTTCGTTTATTAAATGAGTATTAAAAATTTTGTTCATACTCGTTTATTTAATTTAACAAACGAACATAAACAAACGTAATATAAACGATTCACGAATAATTCACCGAACGCTCTGTTCATTTACCCCTAGATATAATGATAAATTATTTATGTATAAATTTATTAATCTCGTCTCTTGTTTTTAAGTTAAACATTTTAATTATTTATTTAATATTATATAGAATAAAAATATAAAATAGTATTATGATCCTTATTTAAAATGATTTCTTAATTAAATTAATATTCAGTTCCTTAATAATACCAAATTTAATTAGAGAAAGAAATATATAGGTAGATAATATGTATTTCACCTATCATACAGGTCTAAATTGTCTCTTCAATTAATTCCATATAACATTTTCGTTTTTTTTCCTTGTCGCAAAACTAAAAACAAATTTAAAAAAGAAAACGTGTGCACAGACAGAGGTATTTACTTGGAAAATGGAGGGTATTTTAGAAAGCCTCTCCATTTCAATCAAACGTTGCTTTTTAATTATTTTGTGGATAAGAAACAAGACGACCAATGAAATGATGTTGCTTTTTCCAATCTTCCATCTTCAGTCCAACTACTGTGTAAATTCTGGCAGCCTCAAATGACAACAACCCCCCTAACAATTGGATAAACCCTCCTAATATTTAAGGTTACTTTGGTTATTTCGAATGCAAAAGGATGGATTCCCTCGAAACTTCTGAAAACCGGAGGTTCCTCATCTTTGACTGAAAGATAGTAATCATTGTTCTATAGAAATGGTATTAAATTAAAGGGTAAACTACAGAATTGGTCATTTTTATTCGAGTTTTATACATTTTTCTCACTAAATTTAAAATAAAATATTTGATCGGTTTCATTTTTATTTAATTAAAATGTGATCATTGTGGGCTAGATGCTATTAAATTTTTAATAGATTACTGACGTGATACAATAAATATATAAAATTAAAAAGAGTAAAATATTACAAATGGTCACTAATGTTTGAGTAAGTTTTTATTTTCCAAATTCATTTGAAAATAATCACAGTTTTACATTTTGTGGGGTCGATTTAGTGACGTATTTGTTACTTTTAAAACTTTAATAGAGAAAATAAAAATTTACTCAAATATTAGTGATTATTTGTATCTTGTATAACTTTATATATTTATTATGTCACATCAATAATATGTTAAAAATCTAACGACAGTTAATCTTCGATGACTATATCTTAATTAAATAAAAAAAAAGTTATCACATGTTATGTTTTTTTTAAATTCAATGAGGAGAAATGTATAAAAACTAAACGAAAGTGACCAATCTTATAGTTTACTCTAAATTAAATGTACACTAAAATCGCATATTAGTTAATAGTTTTTTTAATCATATTAGTTAATAGTTATTCTTAAGGGTTGGGAATAATAATAATAATAATCTATAGTGTATAGATATAAAAGAAATTAAAATTAAAATTTTGAGAATAATATTATTAAAAAAAATTACTTAAAATTACTTTTTTTAAAATAAGCATAAAAATATATGGATGATAAAAAAGTATTTTACTAATAGTCTTTATCTTTTATTGTGTTTCACAAAAATATATTGATAGTACATTAGTGAGTTAACAATGTATTTGTTAAAAATATTTTGGGTTGAAAATATTTTTCTTTGGTAATTATTTATTTTTAAAAATTAAAATCGTCATCAATTAATTTTGGTTAGGTATAATTGAACACCTATAAAAAAAATTATATAAAAAACAAAGAATTTTGAAGGTTTACATTTAAAGCCAAAGTCAATACTAAATTTAAAAATCGATCACACGTGAGAAAAGTTAAAACATCCATGCAACACTTAAGCACAATATTTTACTTAAAAACATATGTTGTCCTATTTTTTAAAAGTTATAAATACAAATTTCAGTTCTATTTGTGGTCATTTAATGAATTAAAAAACATATTTTTTCATCAAATTTCCTTTACAATTTTCGTTTAAATTAATAAATATGTTATTTTGTCTCTATAATTTAGAGAGGTGGTAAACGGGTCATTCGGATTGGGTTCGGGTTGGGTCATTTTGGGTAGAGTCATTTTAGTTTGAGACTTGATTCAAGTTGGGTTTCAGTCGAGTCGGGTCATTTCGGGTTCAGTTTTAATTCGAGTCAATGGTAAGTCAGGTCAGATTAGGTCATTATCGAATTGGTTGGTTTTCGGATTGGGTCAATATCGGATCGATTGGTTTTCGATTTGGATTAATACCATATCGGTTGTTTTGGGGTCGGTCAATATCAGATCGATCGATTTTTGGGTCGGGTCAATATCAGATTGAACAATCTCGGTTCGAGTCAATTTGAGTTGAATTAAGTGTGAGTCCAATCTTATCATTTATGTTTAAGTTCAACTTTCAACATTCAACGTTGCCAATGAGTGTTGACATAAGTGGTTGAGATTCAAGAATTTGAGCTTGTAAGACCAAGTTCAAATCCTACCACCGTCACTCTTGGTGGACAATCTATAAATTCTTATGTAAATCCCAATTGGGTCTTAGGTATGCTATGACCCTGGATTGGGGGAGTCACCCCTGACCTAAACTTTTATGAATAGAAAAAATCAATGTTTCCAATAACACTATCATTTATGGATCACAATTTGACCCAAGCCTATGAGACATATTAGATTTTGTGACTTAATTTCATATTGATCTAACCTAAAAAATTTGTGGTGCAACCTATTTGGTGAAGAATTAAATTATAAAATATAAATTTTATTCTCTATTAAAATTTTTAATTAGATGTTTGATGTTTAATTATAAATATAATATTTATTGAAAATATATAAAACAATATAATAATTATATTTGAATGAATATTGATTTAAATAAATTTTAAATAATTTAAAAGTTGTTGGATCAGATACAGAAATGATCTTTTAAATGAAGAAAAGTTTTGTTGTACCATTCGAGTATTACTAAAGGTGATAGACTAATGATTAACTAGTAGTATAATACAAAATAAGAATAAAATATGCATCATTTTACTATTTATCAAAATAATAATAATAATAATAATAATAATAATAATAAATTATTCATTTACTTATACTCAATTATCGGGTTAAAATCATGTTGAAGTTCGGTTCGGGTCAGATATGGGTAAATTAAATTCGGGTTGCTTTCGGGTTGGGTTGATTTCGGTTCAACTATAATTCGGTTCAATTCTGTTTATTTCAAGTTTCGGATCAATTTTAGGTCATCGTATTTGAGTTTATATCAAATTTCAAATCAGATAAATCGATTCGAGTAATCGGATACGAGTAAACTTTACCATGTCTACGAAAAGGAGTAGTATTTAGTTGGACTACTGCCTTTTCAATTATTCGTAATAGAAAGACTTAATTTACAAAATCAAGTGAACCCTCTAATTTTTTTATTAATGTATTTGCTATTTTGAAATAATGTCAGTGATTTAATTATTCTGTATTCATTATCGTGACATAATAACATATTTATTAATTTAAAAGAAAACCGTAAAGGAAAATTGATGAAAATTTACGTTTTTTTAAGGATGGCACCCACACAAAAAAAAGGTTTGTGATAATAATTTAAAATAAATAAACAAATTAGCATGTTACGATTAAAAAATAAAAAATAAAGTTATATTTAAAATATCATTAATTAATGCATAAAAAATTAAACTACAAATACATAAAAAATTAAAAGACTAAAATATAATTAAACCAATAGATGTAGAAAGGAACAGATCGAAATTGTACACAAGTCAAGATATGATACATATTTTTATAAAACTTCAATTCCTTTTTTAAAAATTATTTTTTATTTATTTCTCTCAAGAGCTGCCAAACCATCTTTGTTACAATTATTGTTCGTCTTCATCTATCATCGATAATAATGATCTTTTGATCACTAAAATACATTAGAAGTTTTCTCTAAATCTGAATCTAAGGTATAATCTATTAAAAAAATACCTCAAATTTAATAAATATTTATTATAGGATTTTAGATTCTTGTGAGGTTTTGGCTCATTTTCATGAGTTTTTTTTTTAAAAATTTATTTGAGGGTTTTTAATAATGATATATATTTTTTAACTCCGGGATGTTATGCTCCGCTGGTAACGGTCGATGGTAAATGAAAGAAAATCAAATTTTAATGGTAAAAATAAGAGTAATAAATGGTCGATTTGGTTTAGGGATAAATGATTGTGATAAAAGATTAAACAAAAAGAGTATAAAAATGAAAGTCGATAAGGTTTAAAAATATT